GCAATAGTGTGTGGAGAGTGAGAGAGAAGACCCATAAATTAAACATATTTCCACTCGGATATCTCTCAGAAACTTCAGATTCAAACCTTGGCTCCAAAGCATAACTCCTGGTCTTCTATATTTCCCCAGCTCTGCCAATGCACCTGTCCATCCACTTAGTCATCCAAGTCAGAAAGCCACAACTCATCCTTCACGCTTCCCTGTCTCTTAACCCCCACATCCAATCTGTCCACCAGTCTGGTCCCTGCCCCCTGCTCCTTCTTTCATTTAACTACTTCTGTTCCCTGAGGTCACTCCTGTTGAAGCCAGGGACACCTGCCTGCACTATAGTAGTTGCCACCTCCCTGGCTTTCCTCTTTCTTCTGCTTTTTAACTGCGAAGTCAGAGAGGGGGCGGAGAGACAGAGAGGAAGGTCTTTGATTCGATGATTCACTCCGCAAGTGGCTGCAATGACCGGAGCTGTGCCGATCTGAAGCCAGGAGCTAGGAACTTCCTCCAGGTCTCCCACGCGTGTGCAGGGACCTCAACTGCTTTCCCTGCACCTTCTCCTGGCTTCGGATTGGCTCAGCTCCAGCCGTTGCGCTCACTTGGGAAGTGAACCATCGGACGGAAGATCTTTCTCTCTGTCTCTCCTCCTCTCTGTATATCCGCCTTTCCAATAAAAATATATAAATCTTAAAAAAAAAGAACTAAGGTCTCAAATGGGGGGTGAAGATGGTTGCATAATGCGAATATATTCAATTCTGCTGAATTGTACATTTTTAAATGGCCCAAATGGCAAATTTTATGTAGTGTATATTTTACCACACACACACACACACACACACACACACCAGGAATGAATTAACAAACCACGAAAAGGCAGAGAGGAACCTTAAATGCGTACTGCCAAGTGGAAGAAATCACTCTAAAAGGGCTACTGTGTGATTTCAATTATATGACATTTTGGAAGAGGCAAAGCTCTAGAGGATAGGACAAAGATCAGTGGCTGCCAGCAGCTGGGGAGAGGGTGTGAGCGGGGGAGGGAAGGCAGGCTGAAACACAGAATATTTTTAGGTTAACGAAACCATTCTGAATGATTCTACCATGACGAATATGTTTCATTACATGTTATTTTTTTTTTAATCAAGGAAGTATGTAACACCAAGAATGAACCCTAAGGAAAATTGTGGCCTTGAATCAACACCAAAATTTTCCTACCACCAGTCAAGTTTCCTGACTCCTCTATTTAAAATTTTCAGTGTCCACAGCCCGAAAAGTTTGTCTAACTTTTTTACCTACTTAAAGATTCAACTTATGTGTCACCCCTTCAGAGAAGCCACTACTCACTGCCCACGCTACATCAGGCCCCGTATTTTTGCTTACCTAGATTCTTTTCAACCCCTTCAGCATTTGCACATTCACAATAAGAGGTTAATTAGATGCATGTACTTGGCTAATGCCTGTCTGGTAAGCTCCATGAAGTCAGGGCTCATGTCTGTCTCCATCTCAACCTCCAGCCCTTAAGTAATGCCTGGTACATGTGTGGTTGGAAACAGAATGTTACATATTATATAATCTATTTATAGGGAATGACCAAAGTTGGTAGGTTCTAGGATGGAAAGCAGATTGGTGTTGCCAGGAACTGGGGAAAGAGGAATGAGGAGTGAGTGACTTTTTTGTTTTCCGGTTTTATTTATTTGATGGGGGACTGGTGCAGTGACACAGCAAACTAATCCTTCCCTACAGAAACGTCAACCCAAATGGATGTTGGTCCCTGTCTTGGATGCTCCTCCTTCTTCTCTTTTTCTTCTTCCTCCTCCTCTTCTTCTTCTTTTAAAGACTATTTATTATTATTATTGGAAAGTTAGATTTACAGAGAGAAGAAGAGACAAAGAGAAAGATCTTCCATTCGCTGATAGCTCCTCAATAAGTTGCAGTGGCTGGAGCTGAGCCAATCCAAATCCAGGAGCCTCTTCTGGGTCTTCCATGCAGGTGCAGGTTTCCAAGGCTTTGGGCTGTCCTCGACTGCTTTCACAGGCCACAGGCAGGGAGCTAGAAGGGACCGGCACCCATATGGGATCCTGGCACATGCAAGGTGAAGACTTTAGCTACTATGCTATTGCTCCAGGCCCAGATGCTCCACTTCTGATCCAGCTCTCTGCTTATGGTCTGGGAAAGCAGCAGAGGATGCCACAAATCTTTAGGATCCTGGGAGATCTGGAAGAGGCTCCTGAATCCTGGACTTGGATCGACTCAGTTCTGACTGTTGCAGCCATTTGGGGAGTGAACCAGCAGGTGTAAGACTCTCTCTATAAAATCTGCCGATTTTTTAAGAAAAGATATATTTATTTTATTGGAAAGGCAGATATTTACAGATAAAAGGTGTTACAAAGAGAAAGATCTTTTGTCCTCTGGCTCACTCCCCAAATGGCCACAATGGCTGCATCTAAGCCAATCCAAAGCGAGGAGCCAGGAGCTTCCTCTGCATCTCCCATGTGGGTACAGGGTTCCAAGAGTTTGGGCCATCCTCTGCTGCTCTCCAAAGTGACAAACAGGGAGCTGGAAGGGAAGTGGAGGAGCCAAGACATGAACTGGAGTACATGTGGTATCCTGGCATGTGCCAAGACAAGAGTTTAGCCACTGGGACATTGCTTTGGACCCTAATCTACCTTTCTAATAAAAATATTTTTAAAAGCTTTACATATTTCAAAGAGTAATACAGACAGGAGAGATAGATATGGAGAGGGAGGGAGAGAGAGAGAGATCTTTCACCTGTTGGTTTATTCTTTAGTAGCTGCAATGGCAGGGGTTTAGTCAAAATGAATCCAGGATAGAGGAGCTCCATATGGGTCTCTCAGATGGGTGGTAAGCACTTGGATCATCCTTCACTGGTTTTCCAGACACAATAACATGGACTGGATTGGAAATGGGGCAACCGGGACACGAACCAGTGCCAATATGGGATGTTGGTGCTAGCAGGCAGAGGATTAGCCTGTTGAACCACAGTGCTAGCGCTAAGTTTTTAATCACAGAACATTTAAATACATAGATAAAAGAAGAAAATATTCACTTCTATATTTTCTTCCCTCCTCTCTTGTGTTATTTCTTACAAATTTTAAACATTATATTCTTTCATTTGTAAACATTTTTGTCTTTCCAAATAAGAACTTTAAATGTGAAACCACAATTCCATTACCACACTTAGAAGACTGAACAATAAATTCTTACTTTTATCAAGCATATAGTCGGTGTTTAAATGTACCCTATTATTGCATAATTTAAAAACAGTAATCTGTTTGTATAAAATCAAGATCCAAAGTCCACAGTCCTCTCTCTCTTTCTCTCTGACTCCCTTTCTAAAGTGCGGTAGTTGCATGAGGCAGGATTGGGAGAGAATCTCCCTTTTTCTGTCTTTTGCTTGTTTACTGAAGATGTATTTGCTTTTTAGTTTTCTGCACTCTGGATTTTGCATCCCTGTGGTGCACTTTAATACATTATTCCCATCCCTCTGCTCCATGTGCCTGGCATCCTAATAGAGTCAAGTTAAATGCTTTTAGCAAGAGATGTCATGTGCTTCTACCAAGAGACGCATTCTTTCTGTTTCTTTCTCACTCTATATGATTCCTAACCATTTGGGATTGTGACTTAGGTGCATTGCTTCATTAAAGGCTATAGAACATAAAGTAAAATTTCTAATCTTGTTAACTTTTTCTCATTTATAAGCTGAAATTTTTTATATATATATATACAGAGAAACTTTCTCTAGGGTCTAGCATGATGGCTCAATGGCTAAATCCTCCCCCTTCAAGCGCCAGGATTCCATATGGGCACCGGTTTGTGTCCAGGCTGCTCCACTTCCCTTTCAGCTCCCTACTTAAGGCCTGGGAAAGCAGTGGAGGATGGCCCAAGTCCTCGGGACCCTGCATGGGAGACTCAGAAGAAGCTCCTGGCTCCTGGTTTTGTGAAGAAGATGGAAGATCTTTATCTCTGTTCCTCCTTCTCTTCATAAATCTGTCATATATTCATCCAGGAAAGCACTTCAATTTTTGCTTACCAATTTTATTTTATTTATTTAAAAAAACATTTATTTTTATTGCAAAGTCAGATATACAGAGAGGAGGAGAGATAGAGAGGAATACCTTCCGCCCGATGCCAGTTGTGTCTCACACAGGAGAGCCTGGTTTGAGTTCCAACTTTCTGCTAAAGTGCACCCTGGGAGGCAGCCAATGCTGGCTCAAGCTCTTGGGTCCCTGCCACCCACAGGGGGACCTGGATTTGAGGTTTTGGCTCCTGGCCTCAATCTCTCAATCTAGGCTAGTTAGGGCATTTGGGAAGTGAATTTGGCACATGGCATCTTTGCGTGTCTTACTCTGTTATTCTCTCTTTCTGGCCCTCAAGTAACAGAAACAACAACAGCAAAATATTTATAAAGAATCTAATGTGATTTTGCCTTTCATTTTTAATTTCTTTCTTTCTTTCTTTCTTTCTTTCTTTCTTTCTTTCTTTCTTTCTTTCTTTCTTTCTTTCTTTCTTTCTTTCTTTCTTTCTTTCTTTTCAAGTATCATTTACGAATTTTAAACCTGATTTATAGCATGAGTCTTTTCACATTGGTTCTGAGTCCTTTTGACACGACCCCAGAGCTTTGCTGTTCCTGGAGTGACAAGGTCTTTCAGGTTTACCTTGCATATTTTGGTACCTAACCTTTTTGATCAGTATCTCTTCCAGGGGCCCTGAATGTTTAAATCTGACTGTTTTCCTCTAGGGGTACTTTGCTTACTGCATTGGTGGTTGTTTCTAGCCCCTTTTAGTGACAGGAAAAACATTTTCAGATGTCTTGACTTTATGAAATAGCACATCTGGAAGTGTTAATTAGATGTTCATAGAGTTGTATAGTACAGGCCCTGGTGCTAGAAGTCAATGCTAGTATCCTTTTCTATGCTGCTCAATAAATTGGGCTCAAACTGGTCTTTTTCGTCTTCTTTTTTTGTATGATTTGTTTATTTTTATTGGTGAGGTAGATCATATGTATGGAGAGACGCTGAGACAGAGGGAAAGATCTTCCATCTGATGGTTCACTCCCCAAATGACTACAACGGCTGGAGCTGAACCCATCTGAAGCCAAGAGCAAAGAGTTTCTTCCACAATTCCCAGGTAGGTGCAGGGTCCCAAGATTTTGGGCCATTCTGCACTGTTTTCTCAGGCCACAAGCAGGAAGCTGGATGGAAAGTGGAGCAGCCGGGACATGAACCGACAATTATATGGGAGCCTGGCGCTTGAAGTGTGAGGATGAGCCAATTGAACCTTTGTGTTGGGCCCCAGAATGATCTTCTGAAGTTCTTGGATGGCTGCCAGCTTCCAGGTAGCCATCCAAGTCTGTCTCAGGCTCTTGATCCTACCTCTTCCTTCAGGCAGCACTGGCCGGTAGCTCTAGCTGGTTTCCTGCAAGTCATGTCCTGCCTCAGTTCCCAGGGCTGTCTTTGGAAGTCCAACAGGCCCCAGTCTGGCTGGTCCATTTATCTTTCCTCATCTGTACAGTCTGGGTGCAGGTGGCTGCCTGGAGGTAGAGGTGCCCAGGGCTACTCCTCCTCATTCCTACCAAGTTTCTGTTGGCTTCTATTTCTTGCTTTCAACAGCCAGATCTCTGGGCCTCTCAAAGCATTGCGTGGCAGCCTGCTCTTCCCTCTCCCCACAGCATCTACTACTGAAAAGGGGGAAGTAGACCTGCTCAGAGTCGGCCAGCTGGGATGACAGGACATTGTGCAGACTTCCAGCCTGAAACTGCTAGTGCTCAATCCTCCTTAGGTGCCCATGCCCATGCCCACCCTACAAAAAGCCCTGCCAGAGGCTTCCCCAAGGATTGCAAAACCTGGAGAGCTGGGTAACAGATCTGGAGGAAGCCCCTGATTGTGTTGTTTTTGTTTTTGCAGGGATGCATATCATTTCTACTCATGTTATATTCAATGAATATTTATTGGTCACTACTGTGAATCACACCCTGAGGGCAGTTGAAGGTCCTGCTCTTTGGCCATCTGTCCTTGTGGGAGACATAGAAGATGAACAAGAAAAGGGGAAAAGGAGATCTTGACTGTGGAGCCAGCCTGAGGGTTGGGTTCTAATTGTGGAGCATCTTTAGGTATGGAGAGGACAGTGAGGGCTGGGCAGAAAGAGGCCAGGAAGGAGAGAGGTGGTGCCAGCATGACTGCGAGCTTCATTAGTTGGAGACTATACCCTACTTGACCTCCACGGAGTCCTCCATTCCTGGTGCAGAGTGGGGACTCATGGGCTGTCTCGCTGTTGCAACACTACCTGAATCAGGGCAAGGCAGGGAGTTTCCGAGCTGGGCTTGCCTTGTGGTATCCACGGGTGCCCCCTGTTCTGTGGGGCCTGCACTCTCTTCCCATGTTGGCCAGCTCTACTGCCAACAGGGATTCATTCCCTGGTGTTGCGCAGGGGCCCGGAGTAGTACCTCCCGCCTAGACCGGCCCAGATCCTTTGTCCAGTGGAGACATCAAGTGGTCAGAACCTGGAATGGCAGCAGTCAAGCTGAAGATCTGCAGGCAATGTAACAGTCACTGGCGGAGCACTCCTGCCAGGCTGACCTGACTCCCTCCCGCAATGTGGAGCTTTATCCTGAAGTACTGCACCCCAGCATGAGCTCCGGCCTGTGTCACACACAGAGACCTCGTCTCCTTAAAGAGTACTCCTAACTTTAAAGTTGTGTTATAATGACCTGATCTAATACCACTTAAAAAAATAATTTTGAAAATTATCTGTTATTTATGTATTTATTTAATGAAAAGAGAAGAGAAAGTGAGTGCGAGAGAGCACACCTGCTAGACAGGCTATTTCATGCACTGGGCCACTCCCCAAATGCCTGGGAGTACGGAACTCAACCAAGGTCTCATGTAGACGGCAGGAACCAAGCAGCTGAGCTGCCACCTGCTTCCACCCCGGGAAGTGGCAGCTGGGATCAAAGCCAAAACCTGAACTAGGTATTCTGATACAGGATGTAGTTGTCCCAGGAAATAGTTTAAGGCCCAAAGGTCCACCCACCCCTTAAACTTCTTTTTATTGAAGTGTAACATATATTCAGAAAAGCCATTGTATTATGAGAATTCTCACCACCAGCTTCCCAGAAGTCCTTTCACGTTGGGCTCTACTCACTTCCTCTCTAAGGGTAACCACTGGCCTGCCTTCTGATGTGTTACTTTTGGCTGGTCTTATAATGCTACATATTTGAAATCATATTGTATATACTTTCCTTGTCCGGCTTTTTAATAGACATATATCTTTTTAATGAACAGAATGTACATATTAATGGGGTATAGTGTGACTACATCAACATACTTATTTATACACATGCACATGTAATGTATAATAATCAGATCAAGATCATTGGGAGATGTGTCACTTCAAACATTTATTATTTCTTTGTATTGGGAATATCCAAAATCCCATTAGCTATTCTAAAATATGAAATTAATTGTTATCACCCACAGTTACCCCCACTGACTTACAGAACATTGTCTTATAGAAACCAGTCTTCCCCTAGAACCACAGCAGAGGAAGGAGAGCAGAACAAATTGGACAACTACCACAGCCAAGTGTTGAGTGAGTGGAGACTCTGAGGTGGACTACGCCAGCTGAAGGACCTTGGAAGAATTTCCTCATCCTTGGATTGGTGAGATTGACAGCATTTCAGAACTTAAGTGGAAACCACTGAAGCAGAACCCATGGAGCATGTTTCACATCAGGGAGTCTGGGTTAATATGGGGGGGACTGTTCCCCATCCCTGGGTGCTGAGGTGGTGGGAAGGCTGGGTGAGGCTTCTCCCCTAATTTCTCCCTTTTCCCAAGACACAGGAGAAGAAAAAGAAAATTTGGAAGCGACAGTCTCACCCCCTTTTCCCTAATCCTTGACCCTTCTCACCCTGATCAGTCAAAATATAAAAATAAATAAATAACAACAACAACAACAAGAATTCAGTCTTGCCCCCCAGCTAAACACCTGTACCCACGGACTTTTTTCTTTCCGTCCCCCATTCCCACCACTCCAAGTGTCTAGTAACTTCTTTTTCTCTACTTCTGTGACTTCAACTTTTTTTCAGCACCCAAATACAAGTGATAACATGTGGTATTTATCCTTTTGTGCCTGATTATGATTCTGTTATTTCACTTAGCAAAATGTTCTCTGAGTTTATCCATGTCACCGCGAGTGACAGGATTTTATTTCTTTTTATGGATGGATAATATTCCATTGTGTATTGACATGACTTTTAAAAAATTGTTACTTAGACTTTCAAACAGAGATTTGTGTATTTATTTGAAAAGGTAGAGTTACAGAGAGAGTGAGGGAAAGAGCTAGAAACTAGTTTGCCAGCTCACTCCCTGAAATGGCCAAAATGGCCAAGGTTGGGGTGAACTGGAACCAGGAGTTTCATCTGAGGTCCTATGTACTTGGGCCATATTTCACTGCTTTCTCAGGCATATTTGCAAGGAGCTGGATTAGAAGTGCAGCAAGCAGGACTCGAGCCAGCAACCAGATGAAATGCCTGCATTTCAGATAGTTGCTTATCTCACTAAGCCAACAGTATTGGCTCTGACATCACATTTTTTGCTGTTGTTGTCCATTCATCCATTGGTGGACAAACAGGTTTATTCCATATCTTGGCTATTCTGAACAGAGCTGCACAGACATGCAAGTATACTTCTCTCTGGCATGCTGATTTTAGTTCCTTAGTGGAACTGGGTTGTATGGCAGATCTATTGCTAGTTGTTTTGAGGAAGCTCCATGCTGTTTTCTGTGACGGCTGGACTAATTTACATCCCCATCATTAGCATATGAGAGTTCCTCTTTCTTTGCATCCTCAACAGCTTTTGTTATTTTTGTCTTTTTGATAACAGTCCTTCTAATTGGGGTAAGATGATGTCTCATTGTGGTTTTGCTTTGCATTTCCCTGTTGATCGGCTATGTTCAGCAATTTTTCATCTGCCTGTGCGGGTGTCTGGCTTCTTTTGCTCAACATTGCATCCATGAAGTACACCCAAATGGTTATGTGCAGTTGTTAATTGCTTATATTTATCAAAGTTCAGTATTTCATCATGTGAATTTATATTCCAACTTGGTTACCTGTTCTACTGTCAGTAAGCATTGAGTGTTTTTCCATTTGGAGATTTTTTTCTTTTCTTTTCCTTTTTTTTTTTTTGTTTTACCAACTCAGTGATGCTATGACTCTATGTCTGTGGGTTAAACACAGGTAGGTATTTTTGCGTTTACGGTGGGATTGCAGGAGTACAGGGTACGTATTTGTTTAGCTTCAGGAGATGCTAATAAACAGTTTCCTGATGTGGTTGTGTGGATTGACATGCAGCGCTCAGTATGCAAATTCCACCTGCTCTACATCTTCAGCATTTCATTGGAGGCTTTGTGTCTTTTCCATTTTAGACTTTCTGGATGGTGTGTACTTGATGACATCACTTTTTGGATAAACTTGCAACGCAGATAAGGTTATATGAATGGATCAGTTTTATTGTTAACGATTATAGGTGACTTTGAAGGCACACTGGCTCTGTTATCTTATTATTGACACTGAGGAAGGATTTAGCTCTATATTTCTAAAACCCAATGGAAAGGTTTTAGTTACTTCAGCACTCTAACCTGGTGATTCATTGACCAGACTCCAAGGTTGGCTGTTTTCTACATATAGATCTCCTGAAAGTCAAGGCAGCAACCAGGCTGTCATTTAAACAAAAAGAGATTTATGACCTTTGCTAAAATAACTGTATTTACAAGAGCAGTACTTGATTGATTCCCAGCAGGAGTGGCTCCCGGGAATCTCCTGAGTGTTTATTTCTGCCATGCCCGTATTGTCTTTGTGGTTTGGAGTCTAGATGCAGGCCCAGTAAGCAGGTAAAGCAAGGATGGGGAGTTCTGAGGGGAACATGGATCTGGAACCCTATGAATAATAATGTTTTCTTTGTGCCTTAAACTTCATGCACGGTTGGTAGACAGCCCCTTCAAATACTCCCTTGGCCTCCATTCTTTAGGTCATATCAGGAGGTAAACTTGTGACATTTCTAATCTAAACACTTGACCCAG